CATTCTCTTCGGGAGATGTGAATTCTCCTTTTCTCTGGAGAAAATCTGGATTTGGGGATCCTAGGAAGGGGTGGAGAAAGGTGGTAGCACTGAGTGTGTGTGCGAGGGAGGGGGTGGGGGGGAGATAGAAGAGAAAGTGCTCAGAGGGAAAGAAGGATCTATCTATCTACTCACTCCTCCCGGGACTTGAATCATAGAGCAGTCAAGAAGTTTGTAGGTGCTGGGGTGTTCCCGGTCCCGCTAGGGAGGAAGGGTGGAAGGGAAGGGCACTTTGGACCAGGAGATCATAGATTCAACCTTTCCCGTTGACTTCAAGAGAAACATTTCACTTTCTTCTTAGCAAAACCGGTTAGTTTGGGTCCATTTCTATCTAAAGGGGGAAAGAGTCTTTTATTATAAATCGTAGAGTGCCATTCCCCCTTCCCACTGCCACTTTTCAAGGAAGAAGGGGTGCTTCTGTAACGCAGACTTAAGGTCACTGTGGTTACTACTTGTCTGATCCCTGGCCTGTCTCCCTTCCCACCTTACCAAAGTGATTGCCTTCTATTGAACGAAGGAATTTGGGGAATTGATATGGGGTAAGTGTATATGTGTTGAGGAAACTAAATCTTGCGGGAGGAAATAACGTTGGTAAGAGTTTGGGGGGAGTTAAGGCTCCAGGGGTGAAGGGGGTCCTGGAGATATTCAGGATCGAAGAAAAACAATCTGCAAGGTCCATTCTCCTTCTCTTCCCCTCTCTCCCCAACACCCACCGCATATAGGACAGTTTTCTTAGACCTCTGTTCGTGGCATGCGTGTGTTATGTATGTCTGTTTATCTGTGTCCCTGTGTGTTTGTGTGTGGCAGTGAAAGTGCATTCCCGGCGATCTCTCCTTTAAATAGGATGTCCGGGGGTTTTTTGTTTTTTGTTTTTGGTTTTTTTTTTTACCAGAGTTTTATTTTTATTTTTAGTTAAAGGAGAAATTAATGTTGGGGTTCTATGTGATTTGCTCCCTCTCTTTTGAAGATGGGGAGAAGAATAATTGGTAAAAAAAAATTGACAGTCTTTGTGTGTGATAGAAAGTATATCCATGTGTTTAATATACACGGTGATAATCCTATTTCGAGTCTAGATCAGATCACATTGGGGCCTTATGGTGCAGGACATAAATGAG